CCAACAAAAGTTGATCGCGTGGCCTAATGGATAAGGCGCTCGCCTCCGGAGCGGGAGATTGTGGGTTCGAGTCCCATCGCGATCGTGTAGTTCACTTTTATTCATTTCACGCGTGCCGCACGCTTTTAATAGGGGACTGATTCTCTACTGCTACTCCTACCATCTCTGTCTTTCTTCTTCTCCATTTATTTATTTATTTATTTTTATTTTTTATTTTTTATTTTTTTATTTTTAGGAGTGGGCGTACTGCAGCATTACTCTTGGTGTATTTTATCTTATCTTCCGAAGTAGAAACTTCTCTGTAAAGAATATCAAAGTTTAGCATGTTGTATTCAACCCGAACTATAAAGACTTAGGAATCCCCGAATCAGACTACAGTAAATATGAGCTGAAAACCCAAATACCATTCTTTCTTTCTGGAGAAGAACAGGATGACTCATAACTATTGAAATGATTTATCTGATGTTTCAGACTAAATGAGTCATCTTCCAACAGGATAGTCAATAGCCAAGAAATAACTTCCAACAATCACAAATGAAGCAATCCCTCTGCGTGCCATCCGCAGCCAAATGCCACATAACAAGAGATTTCTATCTGCAGGGTGGACTCCTGCAAGTCTTTCAAACCTTCTTCCTGGCCTTCTCCATTTCACAGTTTTCTCTCCATTACAATATACTGTGAGGAAATAAAAAGGCAATCAGCTTATACATTAGTTGTTCAAAACACTGTTCTAAACTTCGTGTACATACCAAAACAGTCTAACACCAGGAATTTAAATGCTTAAGTATAAAACTACTTATTATTAAGTGCCAGAAGGTGAGGTAAACCCAAGTGCCTATTTTATCCATTACATGAAGCCACAGGCCAGGGGTAAAAGTAGGAGCAAATATGGAGGTTCAAAAACCTAAAACTTGTACCTCATCCCATTAGGATGGGGAGCATGCACATTTTCAATTGGCTACAAGCAGAGGTGCTACAGCTTGTACCATCAAAGAGAAAAGCAATCATTAAACATAAGCGTTGTGTAGTAAGCCAAATGTTTAGAAGAACCTATACTTAGACATAATATGGAAAAAGAAACTTCTTTTCATTTTTCAGTAAAAACCTGATAGATATAATCACAACTGTAATGTCAAATTGACACCTTAGCTAATATTTCTAGTACATAACTAAAAGCAAAATAACCTTCCCGGTAACAATTGCCATATCTTGGGCAGCACAATGCACTGTGATCGACATTTGGCAAGTGCCAAAACCATGAGAAGAAGCAGCAACAACTGAACCTGAAAAACCAGCTGCAAGACTAACCACTAAAGGAGAGAGTGGACCAATTTTTTCATCAGAGCTGCAGGGAAAGCAATAAAAAAATTCGAAGTTTAGGCATAGAAGCTAGTACCCAATTCTTTTGCAGCATAATGGAGGGGAAATAAAGAAGGAATATCACCTAGGTAGGTGATCCATCCCGGCTGCCTTCCAACCAAGCATTACTTGGGGTAGAAACTGCCAAGTGGAAAAAAACATACCACCAAAAATTGTATCTCGAACAACTCCTGAATGCAAACCTCTCCAAAATGCACCCCATCCTTCCAAAGAGATAATTTCAGATGGCATCCGAACTTCATAAACTGAAGAAGGCTTCCCTGACCCAGTCATCATCCAAGGATGCTCCTGTAAGGCAACAACAAGATTAGGATGTTTGCTGTTTAATATGGATAAAAGACCAACAGATTGATTCAAGGCCTTCATATCCAGAATATAACCCTGGTAGAAGTTTGGCAACTACTGGAGCAACAGCTTTATTTTCTCTAACTGGAGCTCTGACTGGAATGCGAGAGGCAGAGGTTACCTGTGCACGAAGTTTAATAAGTTCAAATGGAGAACTTATCAGTGACTCCATGGCACCAGCTGCCATCCCAGCCATAAGGGCCTCAGAGACATGGACATGATTGCCTTCTCGACCAACTGCAAAAATAGAAATCATAACCACCAATTACTTGATTTTTAACAAATTGCTCCTGTTGCTACATGCTATAGACACAAAAATATGCGGTCACAATGAGGTAACATATATAATTCCATAAAACTACAATGATTTTTACAGACATTAATTCATGTTCTCTCAGATTGAAAATTAGTATTAGCCCAACTACAAGTGCCACTAATATGAACTAAATCAATCTCATCTAGACGATTTTTGACAACATTAATTGAACATGCATATAAAATCAGAGTAAAAGAAAGATAACAGAACTTGTAGAACATAACGAAACTGAAATGAAGAGAATACCCTTATAGAAGGCTGTCGGCTTCATAGATTCCAAAGCAAGCTCCCAAACCAAATATTCTCCCCCAGGCTAACCAGTTAAAACCACTGAATAAACCTGAATTGTTCAAGAACAAATAAAACCACATGAAACAGATAAAGAGTTACGAAACAAACCATTCAAACTAGTTTTTTTTTAATTTACAAGAGAGGGAGCTTGGCTACATGACAGCCTTCTTGTTTAAGGGCTAACCTGAATTTCCTGATAGAGATTGAACCTTGTTTAGAATCTGAAACGCAGTTAATTTTGAGCTGGAACCTGAACTAACCTGTTCACCTCAGAGTTAAGTACAGACAAAAATTTAGGGCTTTACAGCTAAAAATCTAAAAAGATCTCATAAACCGTTTTAAAACATACTCTTGAGTTATAACTGCGAGAGGTCTAGTAAAGAAACTAAAGCGGAAAGTGTCAAGAGGAAAAACAAACAAACCTGAACTAGGGTTTTAATGGTGTCAAGGGGGTAAGTAAAAGCAGTGCCGAAAGTCGCAAATCCCACAGCAGCAATTGCATGCGTTGCAAAGAGGTGGTTCTGCATCAAGTTATCCATCTGAATCTGAAATTAAAAAAACGATACCTCAGTATGTTAATTATAGAAAACCATTTGTTATCACCGCCAATATCATGCATATATGACGTCAATGTGTTTTGGTGAAATGTGCATCACCTGTTTGATGAAGTGTGTAGTAGATTGAAAAGCTAGTCAGTTCAGGTCTGAAAGTAGAACCTCAGACCCAAGATTCACAACCAAAAAATGTAACTTATTTTAGTCGTAGCATCCTTTACCCTTTCAGAACAGGGTTATATGGAGTTGCCAGAAAGATAAATCTACACAAGCCAATGCGCAGGAAGCAACTTCGTCTGCGAACGGTTGTTCTATTTTGATGCCTTGGCTCTAGCATGCATTGCCGATTCGTATTTTGGAAGGTGCAGGACCTGTTCCATGAAATGCTTCAATGAAAATGCGTACTTCGCTTATGGACGGATGGATGGTATCGTCAGAATGTGCATTTTGAAGGTTCCTGTTCTTCAGCAGAATGGTAAAGACAGATTGAAGGTATCTAATGAAGGATTTTTTTGAAAATTTTTATTTAAATAAAATTTACCAATATTGTGCTGGCGTTTAATTTGTGTTAACAGGAGTCAAATCTGTTTCTCTACTTAGGGATTGCTTCAGGAATGGTCACCAAGTAACCAAATTTATTTTACAGTAAAAATTATAACCAGAGCAACTCAAACTTTTGAATCAAATCTTTCCGAGCCAAGTCTTGCGCGAAAAGTTCGTTGACCTCAATTCAAGCTTCTTCGAAAACCTATGTTGCATTTGTACCCTGTAGTTGTAGACACGTCATATAGTTACAATGCTAAGTAATATTGTGTTAACATTATAACTATATTTTCACCATAGCCAAGTCTTTTTTGACGAAGAATTAATGAAAATGCTATAACCACAAACACATTATCTGAATTGTCTCAAAAGAACCGATTCCGCACGACCTGCTAAATCGTGTAAATTGAAACAAAACAGATAGATCCCAATGCACCTCATAAAGAAACATTTATCATCACTCTAGTTTGCGCTGAAAAACCAGCCGCATTCAAGTAAAATGAAATTAACAAAACAAGGAGGCACAAAACTTTGGAGCTCAAGCATCATCAAGAGCAAGGACACCTGGGAGAGTTTTCCCTTCAAGAAGCTCTAAGCTGGCACCACCACCAGTGGAGATGTGGCTCATCTTGTCAGCGAGTCCTGCCTTCTCAACAGCAGCAACAGAGTCACCTCCACCTATGATTGTTGTTACCCCGTTGCCACTAAGCTCTGCAAGTTTCCTTGCAATTGCCTGCAAATTAAGTAAGCATCTTTCAACTTCCATGCCACCACATAGAAACTTTTAACTACCAGTCCTATGTCAAGAAAGACTAAGTTTCAATGCTGAAGTATGCTTGGAAGTCTTGAGTAATTTTTAATTAGTAACCAGGATCCAGGAACAAGCACTTAATCATCACCAAGCATTCAAATATCAGACCAAACTCCAAAGTTGATTCACATACCTCAGTTCCAGCTGCAAACTTGTTAAACTCAAACACACCCATAGGTCCATTCCAGATGATAGTCTTTGTTTTGTCCAAAGCTTCACTAAAGGTCTTGATGGAATCGGGTCCAATATCCAACCCCATCCAACCATCAGGAATTTGTGATGCAGGCACAATCTGCAGAACATAGGATTAAAACTTCAGATGAAAAAAAATTCATGCAAACTAGAACAGCAAAAGAAAGAAATATTTCTCAAAGGTTATAGTTCCTATTTCTTTTGTGAGACAAATTTTACTTCTTCCAACCGGCTCCCAAATTCCAAAAAGAAGCAGGAAAACATGAAATAGAAATGAATGTTCAAATATACCTTGCTGTTAGCATCTGCAGCAAATTTATCAGCTATAACAACATCTGCAGGAAGCAGGAGGGAGACCCCTTTAGCTTTGGCCTTCTCGATGAGTGATGTTGCAAGATCAAGCTTGTCTTCCTCAACAAGGGATGATCCAACTGAGTATCCTTGGGCTTTGTAGAAAGTAAAGATCATTCCTCCACCAAGCAAGAGCAGGTCAACCTTAGCCAAGAGAGATTCAATAACCCCAATCTTGGTTGATACCTTCGAACCACCAACAATAGCGGCAAATGGCTTCTTGGGATTTGCCACAGCTCCAACAAGATAATCAAGTTCCTAAAATCAGAAAACAAGTTAACAGGACAGATGTTGATGTTGATAATAAAAATCTGCAATTAAACAGAAAATTTAGGTTTCCATCTATGTGCTAGAAAGAACCACAGCACTAAGCTAAGTTTATGCTGAGAAATAGTTTCAACATGGAAGACAATAAGCAATGAAAGGAAACTATCAGATTCCAGAGAGCAAAGAGATACCATGACTTGGCTTGGAATCTGCAAACTCCATTCTCATAATAGTTAAAATACACCATGGAAGAGGTGATGGTTCTCAAAGCAACATACCATCTGCATGAGAAAACCAGCAACAGAGGGCTTCAAGAACTTAGCCACTCCCTCTGTGGAAGCATGGGCTCTGTGAGCAGTACCGAATGCATCATTAACATAGACATCTGCAAGTGAAGCAAGTTTCTTTGCAAATTCAGGGTCATTCTTTTCCTCCTCCTTGTAGAACCTCACATTTTCAAGAAGCAAGACACCTCCATTAGGAAGTTCAACCACCATTTTCTCTACTTCCTCACCAATACAATCATTTGCCATCTTAACCTGCCACAGGAAAACAAGATATAATGACTAACGAATAAAGAAAAAGAAACCCCAGAAGGAGGTAACTTTCAAAAGTCAAAACAAACCTCCACTCCAAGGAGTTCAGACAGCCTTGGCACCAAAGGCTTCAAGCTGTACTTGGGTGTCACACCCTTTGGGCGTCCCTGAAAACCACAATCATCAAAATAAGTAACTTGCAGTTTGCAATAAAAGTTGGACAAATAAATAACTTTTTTAACATTTCTTAAAGAAATCACAGAAAAACAACATGGTAGAAAACAAAACGTAGTTATAGATTCACATTTCTACAAACAAAAAATCATTTAAACAAAACGTTCAGAAGACTAAATAACACAAGTTGATCCAGAAAAATGAAAATATAATCCATCCGCTTCATATTGATCCAAACAAGGTCAGATGAAACAGTGGTAATCATCACGAGAACATAAAAATCACACCTTGGAAGACAAGAAATAGCATTCAAATGAATCAAGTAGAAAAAAAAAAAAAAAGATTTTAACTTGAATCACACACGCAAACAAGCTTTAAAAATGAAACAAGAATCTAGAAATGTACCAAGTGACTAGAGAGGATGACTCTAGCGCCGTGGCCCATCAAGTACTTGATAGTGGGCACGGCGGCGCGGATTCTGGTGTCATCGGTGATATTGAAGTTATCATCCAAAGGAACGTTGAGATCAACCCTCACGAACACCCTTTTTCCCTTCAAATCAGATTCCTCCAAGTCACCAACACTCCTCTTGGTCGCCATCACTGCACACGGAAACACTGCATCCAGGAAGAAAAATCAATCAAACGTAAAAATCCAGAACGAGATCAGAGAAATAGAGACTGAAAACATATGAATGTTGTCGCTGGATTCGAGAGAACGTACAATGACGAGAATGTTCGAGAAATAGTTTTCCGTTCGGTTGTGTAGAATTGTAGACTGGGTAGCAGAAATACGGGTGGAGGGTGGGAGGTTAAACAAGGATTTACGGAGAGAACCAAGTTTTGTGTTTTCTTGGGTTTAATTTAGGCTTTTTTATGGGCCGAGAGAAAACTAGGGGTTTAGGCGAGAATTTTTTTTTTTTTTCAATATGTGTCTTAATAGCATTTTTTTATTTACTATAAGAGAATTGGGTTAGTTTTTGCACACCCCAAGATTATTTCTCCCTCGATGGCTAACAAACTTAAGGGCACATCTCTCCCATTGTAAGTACGAGTCCAGTACTATTGACCTTGGACATCTTGAAATAGGTCACTAAAGTTGGTCATTTGCCTTAAGTCAAATATAACCAAGGCCAAACCACCTAGCAACCAAAGTCGAGGTCTCTTTTTACCAGTTACACAATAATTATGGTAAGATTGTAACTAACTAATCTCTATTTCTAATATATTCACTCTATCAATTACATTGTATCTCGATTATTTCATTAAAAAATAACCCTTAAAATCTCTTGTTACAAGTACTTACAATTGATCTAAAACTTTTCTTTTTATTTCTTTAGAATAGAACAAAATAACATTGATTTAGACATCAAAGTATTTACCTCGAAACCAAACCTCAAGGTTTTTCAGGTTAACTAACTCAACGAACTGAAGTTGAAGGAAGATGGGAGATTTTTTGTGTTTACACTTATCGACCTAATGTATTCAAGAAAATTAATTTTTTTAAATACTAAGACTAAAACTTGAACCTTACTGATCCACATCAATGATATATTTATTATATTTTTTTATTTTTAATTTATATAAAAAGTTACAAATATAAATTTTATTTTTAACATCAATATTATGTAAAATAATTGTATTAAATAATTAATAAATTTTAAGTCAATTTTTATTTTTTTAAATATTTTATTTTAGTTTTTGGTTTCAAAAACTTAAGCTAATAAAACGACATACAAGGATTAAAACTTTGAACGTTATAAATTTCAAGACCTGTATCTTATCAGGATGACTTTTGTTTAAACTTTGAACGTTATAAATTTCAATACCTGTTTAAATTTCTATTGAACAATCAACCTACAGCTAGTAAAAAGAAAATAATAATAAAACTAATTATATATTAAATGGGGAAATGAGATGTGGATTTTCATTTTTCCTGATATAAGCAAGAAATGGATTGTTTGAGTTAATGGAAAAATAGAAAAATCCTATACGCAACCTGTATTTAAGAGAAAAAACAAGAACGTACATGGAACATTAGCTCCACCCTCAGAACTCAAAGGTCAATCGGTCACCAGTTACTACCTCATAAGACATACTTATTCTCAACCTTATTAACGAAATATAAATATAATATAATCATGTAAGTTTGCCATAACAAGAGCGAACAAATAATAAGTTCTATTAAATTACAGTGTCAATTGCGTATCTTTCTAGAAAATTCCGCGAAACTTTATCATTCAGATTATTCAGTTGACTAACTGAACGCGGCTTACGATCTGGTCTGTGGACAACACCCCACCCCCCCCCCGACTCCCCTTTCTTTTTTTTGAAAGAAAGATATTTGGTGCGGTGGCATGGTGTTGGTCATAAGAAAGATTTTTCTATGATCTGGAAAAGACTTATATAATGCCACCAGATCGCACTTTTGATGAAAAAAAAAAAGACCCTTTCATTTTTGTGTGGTAGATTTGTGATCATATAGGTTTTGTGTGTCCCTTTCCACAAATTTGATATCAACGTCAATTCCAGCAACTACCCTAACCATCAGTAGAGAGAGCAATTCTGGCACTACATGATCCATTTTGGATTTAGATTTATGTCTATCCTTTTTTCTTTTTTCTTTTTTTTTTTGAATCATGATCGCTACAATCTGCAGCCAGCGGCCCCACAAAAGCTAGCTCTTCCTTTGGTGAACCATCCATTTTTATTGAATGACATCAAGTTGCCAATGCCAAGCCAGTCAGGTTTTGCTGACCAAAAAATGTGAATCCAGTAACATGAAACACTTAAATCAACAATAAACATGGATTTTAGTCATTATAATGCAGAATGTTTCGAGTTTCTGGTGATTTCATGCTCATTCAAACTAGCACCGGATGCTTCATGGGGTAGCAAGTAAAGGTGTGAAGCATGCTGTTGGTTTTTGGTGTGGTACACAAGAATAGAAACAAAGGGCTCGGATAAAAATGCAAACTGTATATCAATTTCCAACAGCATTCAAATCACAGGGATGGCGCTGCAGATTTCAATGTAGGAAAAAATAAGTTTGTCATTAAAATCATTAACTTTATTTGAAACGCAGCTCAACTGGCTCAATCTGCTGATTTGTACTCTCTTGTGACAAGATTAGCACGTCGAAATAGAGAAAAGGGTAGGCAGAATGCAACCTTATACTACTGCCTAAATGTGTAATTTACAACATGAACTCATATCTTCCTACAGCATCTCGTTCCACCATTGCAAAGATGAAGAAAATATTGTCAATGGGAATGAGAGAAAAATTGTTCTCACACAGCAACTGGTGTAGCCTCATCGAGAGCAAGCACACCTGGAAGCTCCTTGCCTTCCAACAACTCCAAACTGGCACCACCACCAGTTGAAATGTGGCTCATCACGCTAGCAACTCCTACTTTTTCAACTGCAGCAACAGAGTCTCCACCTCCAATGATTGTTGTCACTCCCTTGCTGCTAAGATCTGCTAGCTTCTTTGCAACAGCCTGGAAGAAGAGGCACATCCTCAATGTGACCAAGTGTTATAAACAAATAATTACTAAATGCTATAGTCAGTTCTCAGTTCAACAAGCTTCGATTCAGATGGACTGTATGAGGTCAAATCTGCATTGTGCAAGAGTTGCAGTTGACAAACTTATTGGTTGAGCATTGTTAAGCCTGTAAAATGTTGGGTGTGGGCAGGAACTCATGCATACAAGGACATACAGAAAAGGGAAGGTTAATCTATCACATTCCTTTTGGATAAAAAGGACAGACAAGAAGAGGGAAACCTTAATATGCATGCATGACACACAAATCCCTTAAAATAAAGCCATAACCAAGGAATTTATGGTTACCTCTGTTCCAACTGCAAACTTATCAAACTCAAACACTCCCATTGGTCCATTCCAGATGATTGTTTTGGTAGTGTCCAAAGCTTCATTGAAGGTCTTAACAGACTCTGGTCCAATATCCAATCCCATCCATCCATCAGGAATACCAGACGCTGGCACAACCTGCAATAAGCAGAGCAGCACCTACTTTCATTCCATGCTCATAAAGTACCAACACACAAAGACAAAAGGTTGCATAGTTGACATAAAATTTTAAAGGGTCTTAGGAAACAAACCTTACTGTTTGCATCAGGAGCAAACTTGTCGGCAATCACTACATCAGTGGGTAACAAAAGAGATACTCCTTTTGCTTTGGCCTTCCCAAGGAGGGATGTGGCAAGATCAAGCTTGTCTTCCTCTACGAGGGATGAACCAACTGATAGACCTTGTGCCTTGTAAAATGTGAAAATCATACCACCACCCAAAAGTAGTATGTCACACTTCTCCAAGAGTGACTCAATGACTCCAATCTTGGAAGAGACTTTAGAACCACCGACAATGGCAGCAAATGGCCTCTTTGGGTTTGACACTGCACCCACAAGGTAGTCCAGTTCCTGAAATAAGGTGTGAAGAAAGTCAATGATGGTATAAACCAAAGTTAAATTAAGAAAGAAAAAATATTTCCAATCTAGGACTGGAGCAGTGCAGCAATAAAAGGGCCACTCAGCCAAATTCAGACAAAAATTCCAAATGATGAATACATTTGATTGGGATCATCATACACTCAAGTGGTTGAACTAGAGACATCATAACCAATGACCAAAATTGTTGACACTTTCGAAGGTGAAGGATCAATTATTAGTTCTAACTAAAGTAACGGTCTGATTCAAAGGAATATTTCTTAGTAAATAAATTTACCTAGAGGCAACCATAGAAAATCATTGCAAAATCTTCAGAGAAATTAAGCCAGGAAATAAGAACACATAATCCTACCTTCTGCAGAAGGAAACCAGCGACAGATGGTTTCAAGAACTTTGTAACACCCTCAGTTGAAGCATGGGCTCTGTGAGCAGTCCCAAAGGCATCATTGACATAGAGATCAGCTAAGGAGGCAAGCTTCTTGGCAAACTCAGGCTCATTCTTTTCCTCTTCCTTGTAAAACCTTACATTCTCAAGGAGAAGAACACCTCCTTCTGGAAGTGAAGCAACCAATTTTTCAACCTCTGGACCAATGCAGTCATCAGCCTTCACAACCTGTTCAGTTAACAAGGAACAACCATATCAATCTCCACATCAAAATTCTAAATATGAAGCTATGACATTCTTGTTCAGGGGCTTCAGCTGACCCATAAATCATAAACATACCTGAATGCCAAGTAACTCAGATAGCCGAGGAACAAGAGGAACCAGGCTGAATTTTGGGGTGACACCTTTTGGTCGTCCCTGAGAATCACATGAACCCAACATTAGTTCAGCTAAAGAAATGAAATTTACTGAATTAAAAGCTCCAAAATTAAAAGTTCAATGATTTACTTTCAAAGACATCAAACCACAAATTTGAAAGGACAAAACATCAACTTTAACCAAATCGAGGGAACAAAACCTCAAATTGTTAAGAAGATTGATAAGAACCCAGAGTAGAGGTGGAGGAACCAAAAACCTAAGAATCTTGAAATGCTAAGTACCAAGTGGCTGGAGAGAATGACTTTAGCTCCATTCTGAATCAAATGCTTGATGGTTGGAACGGCAGCACGAACCCTGGTATCATCAGTGATGTTCTGGTTCTCATCCAAGGGAACGTTCAAGTCAACCCTCACAAACACTTTCTTCCCCTTCAAATCCGCAGCCGTCAAGTCCCCAACGCTCTTCTTCACCATCGACACAACTCCCCTCGATCCCTTCCCGCTGACCGATCTTACCCTTGAAGAGACACTGCGAGACAGCACACTGTCCCCAACCGAGGAAGCAAACCCGATGCTGTGACGCAGGGGAACTGGATTCTGGACGCGCGTGGATGGAACGCGCAGCAGGGATGCGGAGGTGCGGGAGGCAGAGGAAGAAGCTGCGGTGGTTTTGAGGAGAGAAAAGGTGGTGGGAGCGGTGGAGGAGGCCATTTCGTTTCTTCCCTTTGCTTCAGAGTAGAGCAGAATGAGTTTGTTGAAGAGGCTGAAGGAGCAGCAACAGGGAGAAAATGGGGTTGTGGGTATCTTATGGCTGAAGGGGAAGATGTGGACGGGAAGAGCAGGGGAGGGAATGATTGGATGGAGTGTAAAGGACTGAGATTTTCTTCTTATCGTCGGGTAGAGGTTGAAGATGTTCAATGGTTTTGAGATTGTAAGGAGAGGTCAATCGAGTCTCACTATTGTCACTGTCTATACACTGTCCTCTTGGATTTGGACATTGTTTCGATTCTCCTTCCTTTCTTTTCTTCTTCTTCTTCTTTCCCCTTTTATTTTTTTAACTTGCTTAAATTATATGCATCCAAAAAAACCTTCTTCAATCTTACCTGAAACTTGGAATGGACTTTGAAATTGATTTTCAAACCTACGCATGTCTTTAAAATTACTTTGTTTATAAAGAAAATGTTAAACAATACTCAATCAATGGCCAACAAATATTAAACATGTTTCACTTAAACTCTAAAAATGGATAAAATTAGTGACTACTTCTATTTCACATATGAATAAATATTATGCAACTTAAATTATAGTAGATTGTATAATCATAATCACTAAATATAATAGATTTTTTGATATTAAGATTTTATCTTATTTAATAACTTTTATTTTATAATTCAATACAGTTCAAATAATAAAAAATTTCATTTTATATATATTCTCATTTCATTTTCCCCTTTCTTTAAAAGGAAAAACTTTGAAATTTATATGAAGTGAAATACAAGAGTTCCCCAAGAAAAAAAGTATAGTAGTATATTAATAATGTTAATAGGCTTGGAAAAAATGTCTTGTATTCTAGTGGTTGAGAAAAATTTTCTCATGATTAAGAATTTGAATTTTTATATTTTTAAGTGGTATTTTAAATAATTAATAACTTGAGACAATTAAGTTAGAAATAGGGAAATAATTTTGGGATAATTTTTTTTGTCTCATTTTTTTATATAACTTGATGTGTTACTTATATGATTGATTTTTTTATTTATATGGATTTTGATATATTAAATATATCCATTCATTTAATGACATGTAAAAGTTGCATCAAAAAGTGATATAAAAAAATTGTCCTTATTTGTGAATGCAGCAGTCCTCGCTGGAAGACTCACTCACCATTTTCAGGTGCGCGACGTGAGTCGAGTCCGGATTAGTCGGGGGAAGCTCCGGATACCGGACGAGAAACCGAAAAAAAAAAAAAAAAATTGTCCTTATAACATCTTCTTTAGAAATATCAAAACTCAAACTTTGATATGGGTGAAGATAATAGAATTATCTATGTTACATAATCTATAATATGAAGTAACAAATAATAAAAATTATTGAGTTTATATGTTAAAAATTTAATTACTAAGATATGTGAGTGAAGA